GAAGGAGAGGGAGCTCTGGTGGCATAGTGCCTAAGGCATTTGACTGCTAACCAGAAGGCTGGCAGTTCAAACCCACCAGCCACTCCTCAAAAGGAAGATTGGGCAATCTACTTCTGTAGTGATACCACCTCAGAAAACCAAGGAAGGGTCGCTATGAGTTGGATCAGACTCCACAGCAGTGAGTTTTTTTTTTTCTTTTTTTTTTTAATGGAAGAAGAAGAACAAAGTAGGAGGTCTCACACTTCCAGATCGTGAAACCTACTATACAACCACAGTAGTCAAAACAGCCTGGTATTGGTACAATGACAGACACATAGACCAGTGGAATAGAACAGAGAACCCAGAAATAGATCCATCGACCTATGGTCAGCTGATCTTTGACAAAGGGCCAAAATCCATCAAATAGGGAAGAGATAATCTCTTTAACACATGGTGCTGGCAAAACTGGTTATCCATTTGCAGAAAAATGAAACAGGATCCATACTTCATACCATACACAAAAAGTAACTCCAGATGGATCACAGACTTAAATGTGAAATGTAAAATTGTAAAGTTCCTCAAGGGGAAAACTAGGAGCAAGTTAGCCTAAGGCATTTGATTGCTAACCAGAAGCCTGGTGGTTCAAACCCACCAGCCACTCCTTGGAAGGAAGATTGGGCAATCTACTTCTGTAGAGATACCACCCCAGAAACCGAAGGAGGGGTCGCTATGAGTCAGAGATGACTTGATGGCACTGAGTCTGCTTTTGTTTTTTTTGGAATTTATGGTATAAATAGACTATCAAGCACAACCCAAAATGCACAAACATCACAAGATAAACTAGATTATTGGGACCTTCTAAAAATTTAATTCTTATGTGCATCAAAAGACTTTTCTAAAAGAGTAAAAAGAGAACCTACAGATTGGGAAAAAATATTCGACAATAACACATCTGACAAGGGACTTATCTCTAAAATTTATAGAAAACTCCAGCACCTCAACATCAAAAAGACAAACAATCCAATTAAAAAACGAGCAGAAGACATGAACAGACACTTCACCAAAGAAGATATTCAGGCAGCCAACAAACGCATGAAGACATGTTCAATAATCATTAGCCATTAGAAAGAAGCAAATCAAAACAACAGTGAGATACCATCTCACTCCAGCACTAAAGTTCAACAACACAGAAAATAGAAAATGCTGGCAAGGATGTGGAGAGACTCAGACTCTCATATACTGTATGAGACTAGTAAAATGATACTACCTCTGTGGAAATCAGTATGGCAATTCCTTAAGAAGTTGGAAATAGAAATATCATTTGATCCAGCAATCCTGTCACTAGGTATCTTAAAGAAGTGAGAGCCAGGACACGAACAGATATATGCACACCCATGTGGATAACAGCATTATTCACAATAGCAAAGAGATGGAAACAGCCTAAGTGCCCATCTACAGAAGAATGGATTACCACACTATGGTACATACACACAATGGAATACTATGCAACACTAAAGAATAATGTAGAATCTGCAAAATACTGCATAACATGGGTGAAGTTGGAGGATATTATACTGAGTGAAATAAGTCAATCTCTGAAGGACAAATACTGTACTAGTTCACTATTGTAAAAATTCAAGGAAAGGTTTATAAATGGAAGGAAACTTTCTTTGTTGGTTACCAAGGCTGGGATGGGAGAGGAACACTGCTAGATGGATAAATACAAATACTGATTTTGGTAAAGGGAAAGGCAATATACCAAAAGTGAGTGACCAACATAATAACACTAAGGAAAAGGAAGACACAGAGAGGTGCACAAAGGTATGGACAACAAAGACAAACCCTTTTACATATACAGTACTGCATTATCAGTGTTAACAAACATTAATCTGTGGCTAAATAGATGGTTAGACAGGTTGAATGATCAGGTCTGTCTAGGCAAAAGAGAATATACCCATGTGACCATGTGACCATATATAAGGTTGTCAGATGATACTTCTACATACATATTTGTATGTGCTGTAAGAATGTCCATATAACTAGAACTAGCGGGGGGTGGAGCAAAGTTAGAATAACATTTTGGACACAGTCTACCACCCTGATGGAGTAAGTTATTGGACTTGTGGGCTCAGGACCATGGTCATGGGGACCATTAAGCTCAATTGGGATAATACACTACACAAAAACATACTCCTTTGTTGAGTAACAACTGGGGCCTTAAAAGCTTGCAAGTGGACATCTAGATGCAACAATGGGTCTCTCCTAGTCCACAGCAAAGAATAATAAAGAAAACCAAGGCTGCATGGAAACAGTTAGTCCAAGGGACTAGTAGACCATGTGAACCTCAGCCTACATGACCCTAAAACCAGAACTAGATGGTGCCTGGCTACCACTGTCAACCACTCAGAGGGGGATCA